TCATCAGGGTATTCGACAGGCTACTTTTATCAACCTAACATCAAGATATGGTTCATCCAATGTCAATTGATTGTCAGTAGTAGTCATATTGCAAGATCATTGATAAATTTCCATCACCATTAAATACTACTACTGTGATGTGGGTTGCTTATTTTCACATAAGTAGTATATGACGGTGGTCAGGCACAGAATGTATTTCAGAAGAACGTCGATGAGAAGAGAACGGGAATGAAACGCAGTTGGTATGAAAATGCAAAAACAATGAAGTCTGAGTCATTTTGAAACAATTGATGAACATTTTGCAAATTAAGCATTTGCTTTATGATTGTTAGTTTTTATTAACAAGTCCTGTAATTTTGTGTCAAATACATCCGGTTATCCCCACTGGTGTTCTTGTTCACTACACTACTACTACTACTGCGGAATCAGTTTACATATATATGATTAGAGTATGATATTTCATTTGGTCTAAATGAAAGTGGATCAACCACAAATTCGAGTAAATATTTAATGACACGAACTAAGATCAACTTAAATGCTATTGAATCAACAATTCTTTGAGATTTCAATAAATAATGAAGATTATCCATCTTTACCAGCTACTGAAATAAACTTCATTACTGTATTGATAAAGAAATTCCTTATAATATATCTTCCCACGTGTACAAAACTATTTCTTTCTTTACTACATAATCTTCAATAACTAATTTGTCAAGACCTTAACAACTTAGAAGGCATAGTGATTATAACTGTTATGTAAAATTTGTCATTATTTTACGCAAATTTAGAAATTACACTGAATGGTTTGATGTTTTACATATATCTGGATATTTTTTAAAAACTGTATATGAGACTTAAACATCAAAACGATCTAATTATTTTGTAGAAGAAAACAAAACCTTCGTAACCGTTATTATATATACCTCAACGGTGTTTTAAATTAGAAGGCAAAGAGAAGCAGCAACTACAGTTTTATTAGCAGATAGCTCAGAACACAAAGTAGAGAGGTAAACGAGTGAGTCAGCGAGTCGAGTGAACAGGATTAAAGTGTACATCCATATATACACATAGTGAAATAAATAAACCATCGTATCAATTAAACAGCTAATAGTAAAGCTAGCAGAATGAATATATGAGTAGGTAGTAAGCGATTCTCAAACATACATAATCATACATTCGCTGAGAATTCTATATTGTACCAAAATTATAATATTGAATAAAGCTAATAATAATAATAATAATAATAATAATAATAATAATAATAATAATAATAATAGAAGTCAGTCAGTCAGTCAGCTACAACGTAGAACCAGGCACTTATATGCATCAGTCCAAGTTGCCATACCGCATTAGCACAGCAAGATGAACACCGGATTCATAGAAGTGGTTAATTCAATAGTGATAATATATAAAAGAAAGATTGAATATAAGGATATAGTACAGGAAGATAGAATTAGTACGTAGAAAAATATGAAGCAATTTTAATATCATAATTTAATGGAAGACAGAGAGTGTATACACTTATGCCATTGTGTTCGATTCTGAGACATGTCAACAAGTCTCCAACAATTGGTTACGATAATCAAGCGGATGACTCAGTTCGTTAAATATTTATTTATTTTGACACATAGATATTGGTACAAGGAGGCACCAAATAGATATGCGCCACACAGATCTCATCTGATATGTGTGAGGGCTGTGATACTGCCCGGGTGCCCAAACCGAAGCAGGTGGTTTTCTTAGGGGGCCACACCTGGAGCCTTCGACCTAAACGACTGATCCACAAGGCAGTGAGGCATTGTAAGGAGATGCAGTCCCATGGAAGCCCGTGACCAATAAGTGGTTCATACGCCATTTGTTCCTTCAGGGTACTGAAGCCCATGTGCACCATTGGTTTGAAATCAGGGTTTTCCAACTCCCCTAGGTGGACTCTCCATGTCCACCAACCCGGTTAAAACACCGGACATTCGCCTTTCGTCCTCTCAATTTCGTAAACAACACCCCCGCCACGAGAAGTCAGTGAGTAGGAGTTGACAAACAAGCTTCATCAAATTAATTGTGAACAAACTCAATTGCACATAAGTTGCTATTAGTCTGTTTATAAAGCATGTTCTAAATTAAATAATCAAAATTGTTTTTTTTCTTCAGAATATTCAACCAACACAAATATCTTTTTTTAATGTACTTCATGTATAAGTAACTAATCAAGTATACATTAAAGTATTTAGTTTTGATGTACACTAGTTAAATGAAGAATAAAGATACTAATCAGTTATTCAACGTATTGAGTATATGGCTTGACGAACGATTGGATTGTTAACAAACAACTCCATATAGAGAAAAGTAAAACCAGAATTATAAAAGATGGTCGAAATGATGTGGTATAATTTAATGAAGTGTTGAAAAAAACATCAAAAGATTTCAGGTATTAATTAAAATAGGAGAATGAATGGATCATTTCAATAATTATCAAAAGCCTTCAAGCCTCAATTATAAATTATATATTAGTAATGAGAAATGCATAAAGACTACTCGACAAATTTACAGAACAAACGAGGTAAATATAATAAGACAATAATTGGAACTTGCAAAAAGTAGAAGGGGTAATAAGATCATGTGAGAATTATGTGCTGGACATGACTCCTTTGTATACAGTAATCAGATTTGAACCTGCAAGTTGCTACAATCTTAACAGTACACAAATGTTTGAATAAAATCTACTTTGAATCAGTTCTTTTGAATTTGTAGATGACCCTGAACGACGAACTATACATATTCTACAAGTGATTTATTAATCAACTTATAAAACCTAATACTGAATTGGATCAGTCATAAACTGATTAATTTAACACGTCTGTACAAGAAACTCCATGTCCATTGATCGGATACAATCAACAATAGCCAACTGTGGGGAAGAGCAAACCCACTTCCAGCTGAGGAGGAAATTAGGAAAAGACGATGTAAATGGATAGGACATATATCACTAAACTGCAACACGATACAATCGATTACTTGGAATCGAGAAAGGAAACGGAAATGAAGAAAACCAAATAATATACTGCATCGGGAATGGGAAGCAGATATGTGAAGGGTGAATAGCAACTGCAAAGGATTGTCCATGGCAGACTTGGATGGAGAATGCTGGTGGTCGGTCCATGTTCTTCCAAGAAGGATAACAGGCGTAAGTAATCTAATATAGCTCATGGTCAACTACTATTAAAAATAATAAGTAGCAGAACGTGACGGTAGAGTACTTAGACAAATCAAATAAGATGAATGAATAACTTGATTGGAAATGATCATTAGACGGAAATCAATTTTGTTTCACGAGTTCATGGTAATAACTGACTTATGTTGAGAAAGTCCCAATGCGACTATTAGACTAAATAACTCAACAAAGCTCTGCTAAATTTCAATTTTATTTAATAACAGATAATCGGTAAGGATTTCTCGATGTAATTCACATGTTAGTTGATATTCAACACATAAAAAACATCGCTGTAATCTTGAACTGTTTTCTACATCCTAATAGGATACCGACCAACATAGACCAATTTTACAGACATTACTACAGTTTTATACAAGCAACAGCAGACTTAGTGTAGGACTGAAATACTTACATCACTCAGTCGTTGAAGAGTACTCAATATCACGTTATCTTTTATTTATTTATTTCAACACATAGATAATGGTACAAAGAGGCACCAAATACATATGCGCCACACAAATCTCATTCGATATGTGTGAGGGCTGTGATACTGCCCGGGTGCCCAAACCGAAGCAGGTGGTTTTCTTAGGGGGCCACACCCTATCATGTTATCTTATAATAAATGCTATTTTTGTAAAAGGATATTTTGTTATTATTGTTCTATCAGTGTTATTTACGTTACACTTATATGGTATATTGATAGTAGTAAGGTACATTGTTGCATATAATTTTTTAAATCACAAAATTTGGAAATGTATACAACTTAGATGGGGTTCTTCTAATTTTAAATCTAATTTTCCCATACAACTCTGATAGACGCGCAAAACTTCAGAGACAACAGAACAAATGGTGTTGAGTAGAATTCAACCAACCAAGCTTCCAAGCACATGGCGAATAATCTTTCGTTTGCAATGAATGTGGTTTCGTGAAATGAAAGGAGTAGCTGTGATATAATAACATACTTTCATACTTCTTTCAAAACTCAATGATCTATGTAAAACTTGGATGCCATAAATGAAAGGATTAATACCTGAATTAATCGCTATGTCAAATTAATAATGGGCTATCAAATATTATAGTGACTATTAGTCGATATATTTACCATAAAACTTAACAACCAATCATTTAATTAATAAACATTTCACTTCCTTTTAAATGTCCATTTCCTAAGATATGCTAATAGTTAAGTGAACTACATAAGTTACCAATGTCATGTTATCTTCTGTCTTAACAATACTACAGTACATATGTTAAGACTGAATAAAGCAATATGTAAAGAGCACAAGTGGTGGTATCAGTCAAAGAAATTGTAGATCATTATTCTGATTTTCACGGGGGAAAGTTATGTATGGATAGTTGTAGTCCTCAAAAAAGACCCTAGATAAAATAATTTAAAACAAGCAATTCTTTATACTAGTAAAGATGATTGGATTTTAGAGTTCATAACATGAACCTATCATTAAACGATTAAAAATGAGGAAACGCTGAACAGCTGGTATTTCGTTGAATATGAGATAATTACTCTCTAATGGCATTGGGAAATAATTGCACTACTCACTGTGTGACCTGAAGATCTTCGTCTCAATCCTGTGTCGGGGACGAAATAGCAATCTAGTTCTTCCTAATTTTCAATGGTTATTTAAAATTAATCAGTGATTTCAACTATAAAAATCCTTTCCGTTTTAAACATGAGATATTACTGCGCATTTCACGACTATACATAAAGATATCATTGCTAATCATATTTGTTTTGTATATAAATGTTTTTTTCTTTATAAAAAAAGGAATACAATTTTGATTGCGTAATTAATCTTTATTTTCAGATGATCATCCAAACGACATACCTATCCATTCATTTATAATTTACTAGTCAGGAGATGTAAACAACTATATTGAGAGCAATAATGCATTAGATGATGGTTAGGTAAAATATAACTGTCATATTACGTAATCAAGAAATACATTATTAATAATAATTACTATTAATATTATGGTTATGTTAAAAACATTCTAATCATATGTAAAACAATAATATTACGGTTATAAAAAACAAATTAAACAAGTAAAGATTGTTAGTTGAAAATGATTTTTAATAAAATACAATCATCAAATTAATATATTACATAACCAATTATGTAAATATATGGATAGGAATCCAGCTCCAGCTACGCCAATTGAATCAGATACAGTTGCCATTGCCATTGCAGATTCACGATAGATCGGAGAAGTCTATAAAGTTAAAAATATATGCATACAGATATGTATAAAAAATGTGAGAGTTGGTAAAACCTCTCTCTTTATATATATATATATATATATATATATATCAGTTTAATAGAAACATTTTGCAATGTTTACATGTTGAACTAGGAGGAATGTCTACTACTAAGGTCTACACAAACATAAAATTAGTTATCACTAATCAGTGATCAATTAATTATAAATATATTAGTACTATAAGTCAGCCGTGGATGAAATAACTTAGTTGTTGTATTTCAGAATGAACCTTGGTGACCAAGGTTTTTAGTCATCAGGGAACATTAGCTTCCTGAAGACTCCAGAAACGTTTAGCCAACAAGTATCAATTAGCACAAAACATAAGTCAATCAGTTGTTTCCTGTCAACTACCTCCAACGGTCAAATATTGAGAGAATAGACAGATTAGTAGAAATTCCACTTCAAATTCAGTTGTATGCATTGAAATGGTAGTGTACTTCATTTATGTCATCCTAATACTAAATAAGTAATAATGGAACAGTGATATAGTGGTTAAGACATTTGGTTCCCAACTACTAAACCTTAGATTCCAACTCCGCTACACTAACTTCGATTTAGGCAGCTGTCATAGTACTGTGGTGTATGCCATTGATGTTGAAAGATATAATTAGTATGTAACGCCAATCAGAAGTGAAATGTCCGGTAGCAGAAGATTGAATTAGAAAGAAAAAGAATGCAGACATAGAGCAACTGTAATAACAAAAGAATTGAAAGAATGATGAAACATGTAAAGCACAACTGAAGCAAGATGTGCAAATTATGTATTTGATACATGGTTATCATGTTTTTTAAAGGCACTCTGTAATTTCGCATATAATAAATTGGATTTCACCACCTTCGTTCTCACATAAATTGTTTAACTGACCGTTAAATACACCAAGCTGTACTTGGTGTACATATCAGTTGTATAGGGCGTTAATACTTGATGAATATAAACACAATAAAATCATTGGTTAACTGATTGAATCAGTCTTAAAAAATAAGAGAAAAACCGATAATATATAAGGGTATTCATTTTTTTGGTCGCTAAGTACCAAATTCGAAACTTGTTTGGCTTACTCCGATCTGGACGACAGGAAAGATTCACTAGTTCTGTTTCGGCCTAATTGACAAGAACACTTCAACGATGACATCTCGGACTATGAACCTGAATGAACCATGTTTAAATCTCACAAGGACCACTAATTCCCTAAAGATTACAGGCATAGTTTGCTGAACAGTACAAACTAGTACGAAATTTTGGTTTTGATATTTGCTTTAGACGATCTTTAACCACCTAATAACATCGTCAAAGTCTATTTATTACATTAAGTAGAAGATTTCTTTATATAAGAATACAATACCAAAGAAAGAATTTTTGTCATTATTGCTTATTAACTTACTTCTTGAAGAATATTATAAAATGTGTTAACATAAGTTAAACCACCCAGGCATCCTTCATAAAATATCACAATGAACATTATCCATATATATGGTATATAAGAATAGATCACTTGTAATAAACAAATTACAAAATTCATAGCCTGTTTGGATAATTGAACAAAAAGAAATAATGATAATAGTTAATTAGGAGTATATATTTTTTATTTAAACACATCGATATTGGTATAAGGAGGCACCAAATACATATGCGCCACACGGATCTCATCTGATATGCGTGAGGGCTGTGATACTGCCTGGGTGCCCAAACCGAAGCAAGTGGTTTTCTTACGGGACCACACTCGGAGCCTTCGACCTACAGGTCTGATCCACAAGGCAGTGGATCATTGTAAGGAGATAGTCCCATGGTAGCCGATGACCAACAATTGGTTCATACGCCATTTGTTCCCTCAGGATACTGGAGCGCATGTGCATCATTGGTTTGGAATCAGGGTTTTCCAACTCCCCTAGGTGAACTCTCCATGTTTACCAACCCCGTTAAAGCGCTGGACATTCGATTTTCGTCCTCTCAATTTCGTAAACAACAGGAATGCCACGAGAATTTACTGAGTAGGACTTCCCTAACAGAGGCTATATACGCATTTGTCAGGGAAGTCCTATAAGTAATCAAACGTTAATAACATTAGTCACAATCAACATGTAGATATTTGAACACTTCTTGAAGCATGAATAATAAAATTAGTAATGACTAGTTAGTATATTAATTGAGATTAACCTCAGTATTTTCAATATACATTAAGTATATTCTTTTATTCAGTAATATTCCATACATTTTTATAAATGAGTAACGTATATTGAAATGAAGTTTTCAGTTGGAGTAGTTATGTATAACTGTATACTATGAATATGTTAATGTAATTAATAGTTGAACATGTCGAATGACAAGACATAAATATGGTTAAACATAAGACTCGCTGTGAAAATTACACTCAAGTAAATGCAGAGAAAAAAAAGTAGTCTTAAATGTTGGATACAGTTCAGCCAGTTTGATTAAATAAATTAGTCAGAAATAAAATATGTACTTTTGAAATTCTTTATAAATTTATAAAGAAGCACTCATATTATGACTACTTGTTGATTTCGTTCACGTAATTACTAGACTTTTCCAGTATCATAATTTTGGGGATTTGTGGGGATTTTCACAGTTGAATTCACGAGTCGATCTAAGCTAGACCACTACTGAAAACTTGAAAGCACTGGACGGCCGTTTCGTCCAGTGCACATTTACGACCCACATGAGAGGTACGAACACAAGACACTCGGTCTAGCGCGTGAAAGCTTAACCTCAACCAATAATATTATGAATAAATTGAAATTAGACATTAACATTGATGGATGCCGGCTTAGTAGTCTGGAGATTAGACGTTTGCACCCGAGAACGGTCCTGGGTTCTATTTCCACATGCGGGGTTATGGATGTGCACTGATGAGGAGTCTCATACTAGGACGAGTCGGCCGTCCAGTGTTTCCAGGTTTTCAATGGTGGTATAGCTTAGATCGACTTGTGAATTCAACCTTTACAATACTACAATCTCCACGAATCCCCATACTTATCTAATTTTGTATGGTGTCTAATAAAATATGAATATTAGGAAAAAAATGAGGTGATCGTATCAGAATCTTGGTTATAATTAGACATCTGTCATAACGAATTATAGCAATCCTGATGATTGATTTGACCTGAGAAAATTAAGAAAAACATATAGAATCATTATTCATTACATATTAGATATTACTTGTATTCCAGTAAACAAACCTATCAAAAGCATTACTGGTGAACTGTTTGGGTGGGATAGCTTCATAGTTATCCTCAGGTGTCAACGAAAATAACGAAGTACAATTTCTAATAAAGTTGGATTGTAGATAATGGTTGAATCTAGAACGAGTATTTAATTCTGCTTTGAACTGGTCAACCTGATGTACTTACATCCTGGTGTTGATGTTTGTACAAATCCTTACAAGCAAAGTTTATGCCAATTGAACAACTAAGTAGCTATCTGGATCCAGTCACACAGTAGATAAGGTATTGAAATTTGAAGCGAAAATTACTGTTTGAGAATCATTGTGAACTTATGACTAAATGGTAATATCAAGGTAATCTACTGTATACATCACTAACATACAGGATATTAAAAACTGAATTTATCTATTGAAAAGGATATTGACTAAAATAATGAATTGAAAGATTCTAGATTAAGCGCCTGACAGGATTGTGATTGCACAACTCAGAGAAGTTCAATATAAGAACAAGGTAGTTGCCCAGTGGTTCCTAGTTTGAGGTAGTTTGCTAAATGATATCATTTTGTGGCGTAAGATTTATTTATTTATTTTAACACATAGATATTGGTACAAGGAGGCACCAAATACATATGCGCCTCACAAATCTCATCTGATATGTGTGAGGGCTGTGATACTGCCTGAGTGCCCAAACCGAAGCTAGTGGTTTTCTTAGGGGACCACACCCGGAGCCTTCGACCTAAAGGTTTGATCCACAAGGTAGTGGAGCGTTGTAAGGAGATGCAGTCACATGGAAGCCCGTGACCAATAATTGGTTCATACGCCATTTGTTCCCGCAGGATACTGGAGCCCATGTGCACCATTGGTTTGGAATCCTGTTAAAGCGCCGGACATTCGCTTTTCGTCCTCTCATTTTCGTAAACAACACCCCCGCCACGAGAAGGCGTAAGATGTATATAGATAAAACATTTCCACAAAAATTTCGGGCACTAATAAAAAGGAAAGACTTGAAGTAAACTAAGATTATTATCCTTTAGTAAGAATCCAGTCAATTTACTTCACTTAAAGCTCTACCATTGCTGCTACCTTGATGTGGTGGTCTGGCTTGACTATTGTGATGAACGAACCGGGCTATAATGGTTGTAACAATCGTCCTTGTAGGAACAGCTGTAGAAACAGTGACATTCATTAGTGATTTTAACTCAAAGGTTACGAAAAATCAATAGATTTCTGAGACATCTGTTGCACTGATGGATTCTCATAAACTTATCCTATCACGATGAAAGTTAAAATAAATCAAATGTAGAATAACCAAAAGTCTACGGAACGATCGTGCGCAGTCTGACGATGATGGTTTCTCTTAACTTAAAAGCAGCATTAAATTCTGTAGACCGAGAGGTTCTATGGCAGTGTCTGTCACTGAAAGGTGTACCTCTAAAATACATAAACCTTATGAAAGGCTCTTGACTAGAACATTACCAGCCGAGTCAGAGCTCATGGCAAACTGTCATCTGATTTTGCAACCTCAAGTGGTGTCCGGCAAGGTTGTCAATTATCTCTATTTTTGCCCAATTTTATCGTCGACTGAATTCTCGGGGATTGATCTCGTACCAGGAGGTCCACATATTGACTAAGAATACGCAGATGACATAGTCCTGTTTGGAGAAGACGCTGACAAAATGCAGTCTTTCGGTAGCACTGAGCAACAATGCCAGGAGGTTTGTGATGTGTTTTTCCCTCTCGGAATGCAAATTGTTACTTCGAAACCGGCCTGAACTAAGGATAGGGAGTAGAGTAGTAAAATGAATCGACAACCTGCGTCTGTTGGGATCACCGGGTAAATAACAATAAGGTTAGACGCATGGTATCAGAGAACGGTGGTAAATCAATTGAGGTTGTGAATCTCTATCGACTGGGATGGTTGGGTTAAGTATTACATATGCCCAACCATCCACTACCACGGCACGCAATGCTGACTAGTGTTGGAGATGGATGTAAGAAAGTTGGGGAGGGCAAGACCAAAATGTGGCATCAGCCCATAAAGTCACTAAATTCTGGTCTGATCCATGTTGGTAGGTGCAGACTACTTAGTTGGGGTCCACGCGTCTATCGTAACCAGTGGTTGGGAACTCTGTGTGATAAGGCTCAGAATCGATCACAATGGTGTAGGTGTGTACACTCTTTGTCTTCCCTTAGACCATGGGAATAAAATTGCTTTATACCTTACTCCCTACGAACGAATTCTTTCTTCCTGTATCACATCCTTATATATATAAAAATATATATATTAATACTATTGAAATAACTGACTCCATGAATATGGTGTCCATCATGTTGTGTTAATTAGGCATGGCAACTAGGAACGTTGCATATATGTACCTGGTCTTACTTTAGAGATAAATGTCTAACTTTATTTAAAAACAGATCAGTAGTACAAAAAAATTAATGAACTTACTTGTAGCAATGACATAATCCAAGTAGTCTTAAATTGAATAAAACTGACTGATGATCTTGATAAGAATACACCAATTTGATAAACTACTTGATACCTATATTATTTAAATGAACAACAATGGTAACAACGAAATATCATAGTGAAATTTGAAACGTAACAATAAAAACAATACTTGAAGTAAACTATTTTATAGTGGATAGAATGTGTCTAGCAGTGAATGCATGTTTCGTCCTATATGGAATTCACTGATACCAGCTAGATTGTAGTGGTTTATCCTCGAGATATTTCTCATACTTCGCATATCACTTACTCTGATAATTGTTAATACGCTAATTCCCAGGGACAAATAATTTTCGGAAGACAACTAAGAAGTGGTGACTTCGGTTTATTGTAGTACAACACAGGTTAAAGAACTGACAAGCATATAATGCAAGAGGATATAAGAATACGGATAAGAATCACTGAACTGATAGAATTTAAGAAGTATATATATACAAGCATTCTAATAGGTCATCAAGCGATTTACGTGACTAATATTTAGGCGAGTAAGAGGAGTATGTGTAGGCTATATCATGTAATCAATCATACAATCAAGGGATTAATATGAGCTGGGGATAAACTCCACATTTTTAAGTCTTCTAAGTATATCGTAGTCAGTGTTGGGGACGTTAGATCCCCAGAACTCACTTGGAAAAGGACCTAATTTTGTAATTTTATTCTGATAAGTTGAATTTTTTTGTTTTCGCGCCAAAAGCGCTCTTCCTACCTTCATGTTGTATTTCCCACTTGGGAGAATCTTAAACGCTATTGGTCCGTTATATCTTTTAGTATGCTATTTTGAAACCCTTCACAAGGACAGTTTTGTACTGTATGTATACGTTTTGAATTGTGTCTGTTGTTATCGCTCGTGCTTCTAGCTTTTTGCGGAATATACTTCCCTGTTCGGACTTCGACTTCTTTCTCTAGTTAGTGGGGCTGGGAATAGAATAGCTAGTTTATTGGTTTTTGGTCACCAGTCTTTGTTCCGTTCGCAGTCTAAGTGAACTCGTAACCGCTTCAAACCTAGCAGTCAGCAAGTGTGATTATGTTTTCGTTTAATTAGTCACTCAGTGAGATATTTTGAAGTACTTTCTACTAAAGAAAGAACTATGTTATAATTTTTCTCCAATCGTGACTGACTGCCCTACATTTGACATATCCGTCGCATAATGATGTGGTACTTGAACAACCCTAAATTGATCCTGGAATGTTCACCTACTTACTTATTAGGGTTAAATAAGGGTTATATATTAGTGTTAGGATTAGGATCTACAGTTGGACGTTGAGGTTAAAAATTAGATTAAATATTCCCATCACGAACTGACACCAACTATAATACCAAAATGGTATTTAACCAAATGAGTGAATGAATTTCGCGCCAAAATCCAAGATCTGTTATATCTAATTGGTTCGTCCATAAATTATAATCTTGCCAAAGTTAATTCGACTCAAATGAGTGAAAGTTCAAATAAAAACACAAAGTGACAACTGTATATAAAGGAGAAACTTAATATAGTACGGAAAGAATAATACATATACGTTTGAAGAAGATATGAAACTAATGATATTGAACGATTGCTCATTAATGTTTATAAATCAGTGTAAAAATCAACTGACACTAATATTTTTTTTAAATTCTATTGCGAAGAAAAGAATTTTATATCTCTCTATCATTTAGAAGTGAATTAAACAGTATAGTTTTGAGACAGTAAAAGTAGCCATCAAGAAAATAGATTATGCTGTTAAACTGGTTGTGATTGAAAAGACTATGTTTAGGATTCCAAATAGACCTAAAAATGATCGAACGATCACGTCGCATCGTACGGTATTAACCAGTTTACATGTTTGTTTGGACACATATACAAAGGGAGGAGTAATCGAGCAATAAAATCAAATGTTATGGAACATATGTCCAGATGGCCTTAGAACCAATTAGTGACGAATACTCCAATAAACGTGGATATAGAAAACCATGTTCATTGATAGGAAAGCACATAATCGAAACGGACATAGAATCTACATCAACGGGACTCCTCAGCAGCACGTACTCACGGTCCGCATAAGGGGCTCGAATACAGTATCTTCGGTCTCGCGCATGGACGCTTATACTCTAGACCAATGAACCAGCATCCAACGGTGTTAATATCTAACTTCAATCGATCTATGATATCACGCGACTTTTTATCCATTGTCTAAGGTAAATACCTGTTTCTACCCGATACGGATTGAACTCCACTGGTCACAGCTTCTCACCAGAACTCTAGGAAATCCATCTTGAAGCCATTCACTAGTCAGCAATAGTGAGAAGGTTTTCAATGGTGGTCTAGCTTAAAGCGGCTCATAAAATCAACTATCAAAATGTATAGCTCAAATGAATTACCTTTTTCGGATCGAATTGGTCTTCTCATTGTTCTATTGAAGTATCTAGTCATTTAAATACTAGTGACTAGCTTCAAGATGAATGCTCATAAATCTAGTGAAAAGCATTATATGGTGAAGTTTAAACATCTTAAGAATTAAACAATCCTCTTGATGTTTTTGAATGATCTCCAAGATATATTGAAAAATTAACTGAAGTCAAAAATATGAACCAATGAATTTGAATTGCATGCTAAATAGTACTTTAACTAACATTAGTCTGTAACAAATACCTATCAACTAATTCAAATATTCTTTAAAAAACACTTAAACTATAAAAGTATCATCTTTATTGCTTAATTGACTTCTTGTTTGTGATATAATTAATATCACGTAACGAATAACAACACTGTACAGTTTTAAAAAAACAATGTTATAAAATATCATCATGTTGACCCAGTTAGCTAACTGACAGCATATGTTCTTTTATCAGAGTGGGGGTTTGTGGAGATTGTAGTATTTTCACAGTTGAATTCTCGAGTTGATCTTAGCTAGACCACCACTGAAAACTGGAAAATACTGGACGGTCGTTACATCCTAGTATCGGACTCTTTTTAGAAACGAAGGAATATTTTCGATCAGAGCAAATCAGTAGTAGTAAGAGGTCAATAATTTACAACAGGCCAATTCTCAATGGTTCAATAGTTGAAAGAAAAAGAAAAAAGCCGTTGCGTTTCAACTATGAAATCTCATCATTTAATCTCGCTTAGTCTACACTGACTTTGACAATCAGGTAGTAAGTAACATACAATTAAAAAATATGATTCAATGCTGATTACGGCGAGACTATAATTTATGAACAAACCAACAAGATATAAGATAATAGGTCTTGGATGTTGGCACAAAATGTATTCGTCTATTTGGCTAAATTACTTACTTAATTACTCACTTACGCCTGTTACTCCCAATGCAGCATAGGCCGCCGACCAGCATTCTCCAACACACTCTGTCCTGTACATTCTTCTCTAGTTCCATTCAATTCTTGTTCATTTTTCTCATGTCTATCTCCATTTCCCGGCGTAATGTGTTCTTTGGTCTTCCTCTCCTCCTTTGGCCTTGAGCATTCCATGTGAAGGCTTGTCTTGTGTGGTAGTTCGGTGCTTTCCTTAATGAGTGTCTTATCCACTTCCAGAGCTTCTTCCTCCGAAGGGATCTGGTTTGTTCTCTCTCATAGTAGGTTGTTGCTGATGGTGTTTATCTAACGGATCCGAAGTATTTTGCGTAGGCAGCTCTTAATAAACATTTGCATCTTCTGGATGATGGCTTTCGTAATTCTCTAAGTTTCCAAACCATACAGTAGAACTGTCTTGACATTTGTATTGAAAATTCTGACCTTGGTGTTGGTTGACAGTTGTTTTGAGTTCCAGATATGCTGCTCTTGCTTTGCCGATCCGCGCCTTCACATCTGCATCAGATCCACCGTGTCCATGAATGATGCTGTCCAAATATGTAAAAGTTTTAACATCTTTCAAATCTTCTCCGTCAAGTGTGATTGGATTGGTGCATGATGTGTTGTATCTGAGAATCTTGCTTTTCCCTTTGTGTATATTGAGACCTACTGCTGCTGAGGCTGCTGCCACGCTGTTTGTCTTCTCCTGCATCTGTTGTTGCGTTTGGGATAGAAGGGCCAGATCATCTGCAAAGTCTAGGTCGTCCAGCTGCATCCTAGATGTCCATTGTATCCCGCGCTTTCCTTCAGACGTTGACGTCTTCATGATCCAGTCGGTCACCAGGAGAAAGAGAAAGGGTGAGAGTAAGCAACCTTGCCTGATACCGGTCTTCACTTTGAACGACTTTGTCAACTGTCCTCCATGCACGATTTTGCAGTTTAATCCATCATAGGAATTCTGTATGATATTAACTATCTTCTGAGGCACGCCGTAGTGTCGAAGAAGCTTCCATAGTGTTGTTCTGTCCACACTATCAAATGCCTTTTCGTGGTCAATGAAGTTGATGTAGAGCGACGAATTCCATTTCATTGATTGTTCTAAAATGATACATAGAGTTGCGATTTGGTCTGTACGCGATCTATCGTTACGGAATCCTACCTGTTGGTCTCGAAGTTTGGCGTCTACGTTGCCCTTCATTCTGTTTAACAATACCCTGTTGAAGGCGTTTCCCGGTATTGAGAGAAGAGTGATGCCCCTGTAGTTATCACACTTGCTGAGATCGTCTTTCTTCGGTATTTTGATCAGAATTCCTTCTTTCCAGTCTTTTGGTACTTGTTCCTCATCCCAAATCTTGCTGAAGAGAATGTGGAGTATCCTTGCAGTTACCGCTACGTTTGCTTTCGGTGCCTCTGCTGGAATGTTGTCTGATCCTGCTGCTTTGCCACTCTTGATTTGCCTGATGGCCATGCTGACTTCTTCAATTGTTGGTGGGCCAACATCGATTGGGAGGTCCGTGGGTGCTGCCTCGATATTGAGTTGGTTCAGTGGAGCTGGTCGATTCAGGAGTTCTTTATTTGGTTCAATAGCGTTTTGATCTTTTAGCTTATGTCGGTTCGTGATAAAAACCCTAAATTTAATTCCTAATTTCTTACACTGGGTTATAACACACATTTAGTCTTAGTTAATAGGTGAACATGTTTACGGTCATTTTAGATCGTCCATAAATTATTATCTCAACCTGATTACGTAAACTTAGTGAATGAGTTTTAATTAATTAATTAATTTTTCATTGAGTAATTAATTAGTCAAAAAATTAAAGTAGAAATATTTTCATGAACTGATAAATTTTTGCTTAATTTTATTAGCTAATTTCTATATTATTGACATTAGATAAATTATTTCATGCACAGAAACACGGCAATCAAATTTATTGTCTTTTATACAATTGTTCATTTGCTTTGAGTCTTATCAATAAAATTTGATCTATTTAATCATGGTTAAATTGTTTGTTCTTTTTTACTGAGGATGGGGGGGTGGTATGTAATGATTGTAGTAATCATATATCAGCATATAATGAGTTCTAATCTACGAAGAAAAACAACATTGAAAATCTATTAACAGGAAAACAGTAGGAGAAAAAGGCGGGGTAGTGGTTCAATAGTTAAGTCGTTCGACTTTTAGTCACTAAGTTGAACATTCAAGCATCATTTTATCTACTTCAGCCCGGGAAACTGGATTGTACCATTAGCCACAATCACACTTAAAGTGTGACTCGAAGATAAGTACACGAATCTGTACCTAGTAAATGAGTAAATATAGTATGGTATAGTCCAAATCTTAACCAACCCTAATATAGATGAGAAATAATCAAGTAATCAGACATAATATAACACGACATAATGTTTAAAAGTATATGAACAAGCAGACAGAATAGCCATAAGTGAGTATATCAATTACAAACTGCTTAAATAAGGTGAGAATTTAACGTAGACTAATATGAATTCATCGGTTTTTATTAGCTGCTGCTCAAAACCGTAAAACACAAGATAAAGTAATAAATATTGATGACTGGAAAAATGAAGTAACAAAGATTATTAATACCATATATATGCAAGTGTAAAATCATATGAAGATAGATAAAGGAGACAATAATTATCTAGAATTTGAGAATGATTAAAAATTTTCATAGGTAAATAGGTTGAAAATGTTGAAATTTTTATATTCGTCGAATTGGATGGCTTAACTATGACAGTTTCATACAATTTTTGGACAGCAACAACAATAACATAAAGTTTAAAAGAAGAAGTTAGTTATTAGAAACTCTCCACAGTTAGTTAATAGTTTGCATTATTGTTCCTGAAGGAACAAACGGCGTATGAACCAATTGTTGGTCACGGGCTTCCATGGGACTGCATCTCCTTACGATGATCCACTGCCTTGTGGATCAGACCTTCAGGTCGAAGGCTCGGGGAGTGGCCCCCTAAGGAAAGCGCCTGCTTCGGTTTGGGCACCCGGGCAGTATCATAGCCCTCACACATATCAGATGAGATCCGTGTGGCGCATATGTATTTGGTGCCTCCTTGTACCAATGTCTATGTGTTAAAATAAATAATAAATAAATTATTGATATACAAGTCTGTCTTATATAATACACAACACATTAATTAAAATTTCTGAACAGTGACACTTGAATATGATAATTATGTTATTAAATGTGTATTAGTTTACTAAATACATAATGTATGTTTATATCCTTAATTTAAAATATTTTGATATTTATGCGTTGTTGTCCACTTGATCTAGTAATGCCAGTGTGTACATTTAGGTCTTTAGTAAAATATATTCATTTATCTCTAGTTTAAACAACACTTTCAATGAGCTCTGGGAGCAAATCGATGAAAAAACAAAACGGTATCACCACACTATGGACAATAATAATAACAATTGTTTAGTGTATCATCAAGTATTAAACTGGTATGGTAAGTTAACATTCTATAATAGTAATAATAATAACATGGACAGCAAACAAAAGTAAACTTTTAAACATTGCTTCTGCGAAAATAATTCATTGACAACACACAAATGTGTGAGAAAACTAATAATAATGGCGATAAAACAAATGACAAAAGCAAGAAATTCTCAACAACAACAAAATTAACTTATTCTCCAGGTACCTGACTTTGAGCCACACTCGAATTGTAAGAACTAATGATACTATTCAGTTGACTAAGCTGTAGTAGATGAAGCGCGGCTCGAAAATGCGATTCATTGGCTGAAATTCAAACGGACTAATCACTTAATTACCTTTCCATAATTTATATCACGGACTCATTTTAAACAACCAGTGAACAACAAGAAGCACGAAACAACTATTTCATCCTAGTGTAGGACTCCTCAGAGGTGAAGATTCACAACCCGAAAGGACCAAACTCACGATTTTCAGGTCTAGCAGTATGTTTTTAACCTTTAAACCACTAAGTTCGCTTCAAATAGTTTACATATCTAATTTCAAACAATTCACAATATTGTGCAAACAAATTTCATCAACGCTATTGATAGGTAACTGCTTCACACTCGACGAACTAAATTCCGCGGATAACAGTTTTTCACAAGGACTCATGGAACTATCTCGGTGAGACAACAATTTATGGACGATCTTTGAACGATGCTCGGGTGACCTTGAGAACGCCTACCTACTGATTGGGGCTAAATGAGGGTTATAAAGCAGTGTGAAGAATGAGGATTATGATTTACAGTTGACAGTAAGGGTTAGGATTGATTTATGGCTTTCATCACGAACTGACATCAGCTAAAATGACTAAATACCAATTAAAGGAACCAACATATAGAAGCTGACCTAATTAGCGAGCACATGATTGTTACTTAGTTGGTTATGTAGACTATCTTGATTCGAAGACTACTGTTGCATCATATGCTTTTAAAACGTTGATTCACTAAAATGAATCCACAAAAATTTGAGACAAATAACAAGCTCATCTCTTAAACAAAAGCTTGTCATCATACTTTTCATGTAAATGGTTCTCAGCTATGAGTAAAATAATTTGAAAATATCATTTACATAACTTTGATGTACAGAAGAAACAAATATTTTCATATAAAAACCCGAAGCGTAAAAAATACAAAAATTTCTACACTTTTAGGGAGTTCCTGAACAGTTAAAAAATAAAAGTCGTTTTTTAAAGCTTTGAAACAAGTAATGAACTGGACTATAACTAGAAGTGGAGTCTAGGAGGAGTGTTTCATCCTGTCTGGTATTCAAGGGCTGGGTGTACCTGGATCCATGTGTTAATATTTACAGAGAATTGAACCTAACGCTTACTGTTACAAAATCCATCGAGTTATCCACTAAGCTACCGAGTTCACATATTCTTTTGAGCCTACCGAAGCTCTGAACAAACAACTAAGTTATGTGTAAAAATTGGAAGTTCAAAACAATAGATTTTGTCCAGGATACGATACTATTAATACACAAAAATATGCAAGATATTACACAAACAAATTCATGAGGTGTCTACGGCGTTTACCAGGTCAACATATAACGCAAATAGCACGATAAGAGATGAGACTAGTTTACAGACGAACCAATTACATAGCGAGTCTTAAACTTTTGCATGAAATTTGTTCATCCATACGGCTGACTGGCATTTAGGCATTATACCTGCTTCCAGTTCATGGGAGAAACCCTAACTATAAATCCCGATTTTGATTTCTCACAGTAATTTATAACCCTCTTTAGACTGTAAGTTTAATTTTCTCAGGGTCAATTTGGCGTCTTTTGAAAGTCGTTCATAACAACTAGCAGCTAAGTCAAAATGACAACACTGGGCAGTGATCGAAACGTAGACTAAGAATACAAATGATATCTGTTAAAATTAAATCGAGAATAAATGAGTCCACAAAAATTTCAAGTAACTGCTACAACTCCAAAGAAGTTCCAATTACATTAGTGAATAAACTGAACGTCGCAGGTTCATGTAAACGCTTAGCAAAAGAACATAATAAATTGGGCTTACATCAAAAATGCTCAAAATAACTGAAAGTGAAGTAAGTTACTTAATGTTGATAAGTAGTATATTGTTATATCCAAAAGGTAGTCAGTTCAGGAGGAAAAGGAGATCAGAAGTGCAAACAGAATTAGCGTAGACACTGAGCCGTTTACACTCATACTAATATCTCTTAAGTGAATAATGTATAAAAACTGTTCACAAAAAATACAAACTTCCGGGTCTATTAATATGCAATCCATCAATATTTCCGAGTGAATAAAAAAATAACATAATACTCTTAAACTGATTGGTAGCAAAGTGTAAAATATATTCGACTTTCGAACAATCAATAGTAACCTGGGACCCGATTACTCAATTGAATTCAATTCGGCAAGCTAAATGGTAGTAGTATCAAGGTGTGGAGACGGACTATTAGGCACGATGTCACAGGTTCGAACCCCGTCACGCTTACTTCCGTTTGGGTAACCGGTATCATTAGCTGCCTGGACTTAGAATGTGGCTTATACTCAAGTATGTGGTGACTGAATTAACTTCGTAGTACGGAAATATCTTACAGCAAATATCCTACTCAAATCCTTGTACATTTTTACTCACCATCTATATTGTTCTGGAGCAGTTAAACGTGTATTTTGAAAGTAAAGTAATTCAAACTGAAAAAAACATGGAAATAAAAAAACAGTAGTAATAATTTCAACAAAGGAATAATATGAACAAACAATCAGAATAACGCATATAAGCGAAGAATATTGTTTTCAATTAAACGTTACTCTAAAATACATTATTATTTATATGAAAATATTAAACTAATCAAGGCAATTTATGAGTCAATAATCACAATGAAACAGATTGCATAACTAACTACACATAATAGGTGAGAAAGACAAATTGATAGTAAGTGGGCATGTGTACTAGAAATAGTGATAAATATAATGAAATAACAAAAGTTCTGGTCAATAGTTCAGATGTGGATAAACAGACTTGGAAACAATAATCACAAAACATTGTCAAAATTACTCAATGAGAAGTGCGTAATTGACCATATACTGAAGAAGACAAGGACAGGAGTGTCACAAACTTATTCGGAACACATAAACTAGGGGTTATAGGTCCGAATCCCTATAGCTTCTGTTATAAGTAAGAGACGAAACCGAACCGTAAGGAGAAATGACGGTGTACAATTCAATTTTATCTATTATATGCCCACTGTCAACCAGGTGCCGAGACAGAGCTACGTATTGTTTTTGACTGGCCGTTTCGAAACCAAGTAATAGACAACAAGACCTAACATAAAAGTCTACTTACTAAACTTAACATATCTCATATAAATCACAGATTTAGAGAAAGAATAGTAGAAAAATACATCTATGTTACCGTGACTGATTTTGAGTTACGTTGTATAATCAAACAAGGATAGTGACTGAAAATAAGCAAAGACTATAACTATTGAATCAGTTACTTTACTTGGTGTTGCTATGCCGTGTAAGAAAAAAAATTTCATCCAATGAATAAAGATTGCATTGATCAGTGATCAAATGACGATACTTGAACAATAATAGTTAGTTCCATATAGATATTACCCCCAAATGCCCTGGTACGGCTGAGGGTGGGGGAATCCGCTCGCTCTCTCTCTCTCTCGAAATGCCATCACATGGCTACTGCCAAAGAATTCCTACTCACAGTCTTCTCGTGGCCCGGGTGCTGTTTACGAAATTGAGAAGACGAAAAGCGAATGTCCAGTGCTTTATCTGGCTTAATGGATTTGGAGGATCCACCTACAGAAGTTGGGAAGTCCTGACTCCTAACCAATGGCTCCAGGATCCTGAGGGAACAAATGGCGTATGAACCAATTATTGATCGCTGGCTGCCATGAGACTGCATCTCCTGACGTTGATTCACTGTCTTCTGAATCAGACCTTTAGGTCGAAGGCTCCAGGCGTGGCCCCTCAAGAAAATCACCTGCTTCACAGTCTTGGCACTCAGGCAATACCACAGCCCATACGCAAATCAAGTGACTTGTGTGGCGCACTGAGTCGGCATCCAGTGGTGTTAATGTTTAACTTAAACTAATCCACAAAATTGAGCGACGCATCCATATCCATATTTAAATTTGTCCCTAGTTTATTCTACAAACCATAGGCTTTCGTTTGATGTGATTCACTGCCATACCTTTTTCTGTTCCTAAGCTATTATAATTTAAACGCCAACTTTGGTACTGTTTTTTCTACCCTAATACCAGTTTAGACTTAATTGTATTTTTGCAATTGTTTGTGAGTTGTGGCCGTGCTAGTCATCTATTTATTCACTGACCTGAAGAGGAAGTAAACCGTGTGGTGTTCCGGTTGGCTCATCTTCTCTCTCTCGCATGTCAACCAATCAGGTGGTAGAACAGTTTTCATCTCTTTACCCAAGGTATTTAATCTGCATTCCCAACTCACACATTCTAGAAACAAGGTTAAACCCATTAGCCTATCGTTTCAAGGCCTTAACCTATATCGAAAAAAATTCTCTCCTGTATATTATTGGATAGAGAAATCGAGGACGTAACACATCCATTATTAGCTAATATATATATATATATATATATATATATATATATATATATCCTGGAGTTCTAGTGAGAAGCAGTGACCAGTGGAGTTCAATTGGGTCAGTTGTGAGATAGTAATTCACTGATGACAATCGTGGATGTGTTGCTCAATTTCATGGATTGGTTGAAATTAGACATTAACACCGTTGGATGCCGCCTCAGTGGTCTAGTGGTTAAGCGCTCACGCGCGAGACTGATAAGTTCTGGGTTCAAATATCGCGAGGCGGGTTCGTGGATGCGCACTGTTGAGGAGTCCCACAATAGGACGAAATGACCGTCCAGTGCTTTCAGGTTTTTCATGGTGGTCTAGCTTCAATTGACTCATGATCTTAACTATTGAAATTACAACAATCTCCACAAAACCCCTTCTGATAAAATCTATCTATTGTAAAAGAACTAAAAATAAAATAGTTATATCAAGGCAATCCACACAATATGAACATATGTTAGCGCAGAACTATTCAAAATTAAGCGCTAAATATCAATAATGGGATAATTGAAAACCTTTATTAACTAGAACTTACATATTTCATTTACATAATATTAATAGTTTATAAATATATTGATACAATTTACTTACCAATGACTGATTAATTAAATATTCGAAGAAATAAACTGAAACTAGACAAAATAATGAACTAATCATTCCCTATATTGAATAAAAATTAACAAAAAAAGAGATAACAGTGATATGATAATATCGGAATTAAATTTTAATTTATTTTCCCGTTGATCAAAGGACTATAATCAGTCAAGAAAATACAGATTTAGACAGAAAATTTTATCTCTGTTTCTTGTATATGTATATTTACATTTTCGAAAAAGATTACAATTTTCGGCTGTATACAAAGTTACTTGTTTTCAGTATAGTCCTGCTAAGACTATGTGTGCTACAGTATAGAAACTTACTTAAGAAATCCATCCGTACGTAATTACTTCCTATACAATCCTAGACTCGAACCCAGTAGCGTTTCCTTCAAACGCCATCGCGTTATCCATATAGTTACTGAGTTCAGACAACCACTGGATTGTGCAATAGAGAGGCACAGGTGCATCCATTCTTTACCTTCCCCAAATTCTGAGATTCAAAATTCCCCACAACTTTTTTTATTTTTATTTCACTAGTTTATATTTTCTTCTCACGTCACACCGTAAATGCCTAATATTTCCTAATACCACTAATACTGTTACTACATCTGCTATTCAAGGATTTGGTCTGACAACTTGATATCTATGTGCTAATAAGATATGACAACTTGGACCGATGTACATACAAACAGGTTCCAAGTGTGTGACTGATATATAAATAATTTAACCTCTCATATATATATATATATATATATATATATATATATATATATATATATATATATATATATATATATGAGACGTTAAATTATTTTTAGAAAACTTAGGCCGTTACAAAAATTATGAAAATGATTTTTTTATATTTCTATGAATACAAACATTTTCAGCCAGCAATTAGAGAGCCAAAAAAACCAGAAAATGATGAACACATTATTTCTTTGCTGACAATGAGCGGAAAAAGAAGAGAGGTGGTCAGTTAATGAAATAACACTAAGGTATAAACGACAGATGAATAGGACTGGCATCCGTCAGATCACCATGACCACTTTAGTTGAAGTCCTAGGGATCGTGCAAGCTAGTGGCTTCAGACATTGTCATTACATAGATCAGAACAAAGTTCAGCGGAAATCCTATCATGGTTTGTTTGGCATTCTTCATAAAAATGAGACGTAGTCCCCTAACTGCAAGCAGGCTTCCTTGGCTCCATTGATGACTGAACTGCATCTCCTTTTAAACACTATTGTCATTCACCAATCTCTTCAGTCATACTAATCTATCTCCCTTTATTTTTTCTCAATGTTATTTTTTATTTTTATGTAGAGCAGATCATTTTTGCTGAAGAGTTGTATCAGAGTGTATGTACATTAAAGAAATAAATACCAATGTCTAACTTCAATCGATCCATAATCTTGTGCAACGCTTCATCCATTGTATGAGGTGGATAACTGCTTCACACACGACACGGATTGGACTCCACCGATCACGGGTTCTCATTGGAACTCCAGGAAACCCATTCTGAAGCTAGTAACTAATGTGCACATGATTATTATCAGTATGGCGATTTTGGGGGATTGTAGTATTTTTAGTCGAATTCACAAGTCGATCTAAGCTAGACCATCATTGAAAACCTGAAAGCAGAAGACGCCCGTTTTGTCCCAGTATGGGATTCCTCGGTAGTGCGCATCCCCAACCCGGCACGCTGGAGTCGAACTTCAGACCTTCGATTTCCCACGCAAACGCTTAAGCTGTAGACCATCAAGTCAGAATCCAACGGTTTTAATCAATCCATGATCTTGAACTGCTGAGGAGTCCCATACTAAAACGAAACAGCGGTCTAGTGTCTTCAGGTTATCAATGGTGGTCTAACTTAGATCGACTTGTGAATTCAATTAAAAATACAACAATCCCCAAAAATCGCCATGCTGATAACAAATATTAGTCTGCATTTGTGATTCTTTAACCGACCAAATCTTTTATAGAATGATGAGTTGGAATCAGTTAGTTTGTATTGCTAAAGAATGATACAAATAATTTTTATTTGATAATACCTTTTATTACACTGTACTAGCAGAAGAAAACTTGAAAATGGTTTTTAATTGTCTTCAGTAAAATAAATAGGAACGAAACCTGAAGTTTAATATTTGGAATTAATAAACTTACATCACATCACATCATACTATACCACGTACAGATTTATACACATAGCTACAAGTCTTATTCCAAATGTGAGAGACAGTGATAATAGCCGGTTTCTCAATCCGAGATAGGTGGGCGGAGTTTGAACCAATAACTACTACAATACTTTATCATTAGACCGCATTTAAACCATACTTAAAGTGCTGTATAATTTTAACTACTTTCATCATGACAAACACTAGGTCTGACGGTGTTTTGTAAAACGATACTCCACAAACCAAGTCTACACTAGCGCAATTGCGAATTTACATTGACCATGAACTACAAAAGCCGAAGTGATAATTATCCACTGCTATAATGGTAAGGTCATAAGTTGTTCAACAAACATTATGGCTTAGTATATCATTTTCCTTATAAAATCACCATACTAAAATAAAAATTTAATGGTAACAACTTTCGGAAATGGTCTTCAATTCAAATAATTCAGTTCTACATAACCATGATAAACTGACACCCTGGAATGCTCCCTTCGTCATAGACCAATATTACTAAGCGCCATCATAACGAAAACTAAATCATGACAAAGAGAATATTCACAAACAATGAAGTTTCATTTACTATACCAATTCCTAATATTCCTTTTATTTGTCTTATTCAAACACAAGCGTTGGTACAAGGAGGCACCAAATACATATGCACCACATAAATCATTCGATTTTTGTAAAGGTTGGAATACTGTCCAGTGCCACTCTTCAAGCCTTTGACCTAGAGGTCTAATCCACAAGGCAGTGCAACAACGAAAGGAGGTGCAGTCCTATGGTAGCCGGTGACTAACAACCGGTTCATATGCCATTTGTTCCCTCAGGATCCTGAAGCCCACATGCACCACTGGCTTGGAATTTAGGTTTTACAACTCCCCAGGTGGATCCTCCATATCCACCAATCCTGTTAAAGCACCGGACATTCACTTTTCGCCTTCTCAAGTTCGTAAACAAAAGTAATGCCGTGAGAAGGTAGTGAGTAGGACTTCCATGGCAGTGGCTGTATACGCGTGGCCATGTGAGAGCTGACTCTCCCCACCCTCGGCCGTACCAGGGCATTTGAGAGCAATTCCTATTCGAGATGACTGTTACAAATACATCTGTATCAAAAACACATTAGAAAAAAACGCACCTTCAACAGCTGTAGTTTTATTTTCCATGTAGGCTGTTGTTGATGTAGAACAGGTAGAGATGAATAGTTGGAAACTTGTGAATTGTCATGATAAACCATATCATCTTCATTTCTCAGTTGAATATACCCATCGGAATCAGTTATTACATCATTGTCATCAACAATCTCAGCTAAATCGTCATTATGACATACATTTGTAGGAAGAGAAAGAAACTATGTATATTAAATGGATAATACAAGTGTTTGCTATTAAACAAAATATGAAAAATATTCCTTGCACAAAGTAAAGTCACTGAATAATTAAGATGTATTCCAGTAATTTCCAAAAAATATGAAATCCAAGAAATATACTTCATGTTGTTTAATGTTCATCAGTAAGAAGTACGCTGAATATATAGTTTCTGTACGCTGTACCTACTGGCATTATGTAAATCCTGAAATGCACACGTTTTATTGATGCACATCTAACTACTTTTTCTTAACGAGTAGTTAAGATAAAATATAAATACTTTTGGAACTTACTGTGCTCTGACTCTTCACTGGTTACCAATGCATTTATCCTCTCTGTTGACATCGTGGAATTGTCCGATGAAACCATAGGGTTGAAACACAGTCGAAATTTTTCATGATGAGGTCTGTCTAGAACGAAGAAATACCTAAGGGAGAATTGTTCGTAAGTATATATTAGTTGTTTGTAATTATTACTATACTTATTATAATCATTTATAAAATGGCTATCAGAATGTTCTCCGTATTGATAATGTATCCTTAGAACTAAAACTGTTGCAAATTATTAATCTTCCTGTCATATGTTTTTAAGTAAACAGTGGGATGTCGTGATATTCCATGATTACGGTATATTCCCACTGCATGTGGAGATTTTACTATTCTCTTAAAAAAAGAATCCACATTGTACTCCAGGATTTTATTTCGGATGTAGTGTACATCACTACCAAATCAACTACCTCAATGATCAACATCATACTGTCTAGTCGATAAATGTAGAACCATGTGAAATAAAAAGACCATTGTGCTGATTATCGATAATAATAAATGGCAGACATAGATTGGTGCAGAATAGCGTGAATTCATTTTATTGCGTTAGGTTTTCATTAGTTGCTTACAACTTATGATATTTGAAGTCAAAGTTGTTACAGATAGTGACATACATATAAATACGAAGGTAATTAGAGATGAATATGTGTATCATGACGTAGCGAAGATTCCAATAGAGTAAATAAGGTCATAGTTAATCTTCTTGTTCCAAAGTGTGAGAGGTAAAGTTCCAGAACATCGAACTAGTAATTAGAAATCATAGAGTTAAAAAACACTAGACGGTTGTGTAATGAAGTAACTAGAAATAGATTAATAGTAATAAAGAAGGATATGAATTGAAATAGCCAGTTATGAATTGAAGAAAAACGATAATAACGTAATCAAACTTTAGAAAGAGTTGATATAATGAATGATGCAGTAAAAAAATGTGATGTTACCAGGACAAAGAAAAAGTTATTACTTCTTCGTTTTGTATACATAAATCCGGTTTTAAACTTTCAATCACTATCGCCTACGCGAATTTCAGAAGATGATAACTCGATTGTTTATTTCTCACCTTGAAGGATTTCAGTGTACCCACGTGATATCCTATATCGAGATGTCTTGAGATGATACTGTTGAATGCTTTTAATCCACTTAACTTCAAACTTTTTACAATATGTTCTTTGAATCGGACGTAGGCTCCCCGTTTTGTCCTACCAATATAACTGATTCGGAAGATACATGTTAATCTGTATACACAGTTACTGGTAACACGTAAGAGATACCTATTGATCTTTGTGTTAAAGAACATGTTATTTTGGACAAGACAATCAGTTAAGCTGCAAGGTAAGCTCCGGTCAATGCGGTTTTTACTGTTTTGTTGATTGATCCTGTCACATCACTTTTGAATTTAAGTTGATTTTAAAATATTATAGGTTGCAAACAGCTGATGAGAACTTAACGAAAATGGATTTATATTATTCTGCACCAATCTTTGTTTTTGCTTTCTTTAACAATAAATTTCTTAGTTCCAGTAGTTATTTCTAATAGATGTTAGGTAGTTGGCGGCAACTAGATATGATTTATCATGTTTAATTCGAAATGGGAACTAAAAACGCATTGAGATGTTTGATGATTTCTCAATAGAAAAGGACACTAAATCCAGTTGCTGACCTCATTAAAGTTGAAATCCATAAACTGACTATTTTGGTTACATTTCATCTATACAATCAAATGATAGACGACTACTTTTTGATATAAAAAGAGAAACAAATAAGATAGATATCTTATAATAATGCCATATATGTCTGACTTTAAACTAAATGTACGCAGATAATAAATCGAATGTGACGTAACAGACAAAAAAACGAAGTAATTTAGTATCTAACAATAGTATTTACGCTTTATATTCTGTGTATGCGTAGTAATCAATTATTTAACTTGATAACCAACAACAACTTTATATACTGTTCCCGGCTAAATTTAATGTATGAAGGCGAGATATGTGATAGTGTGGTGTGAGCCTCTTATGTGAACAGATACAGATAGTATATAGTGGAATGCTTACCAGCAAAAGACTGAAATAAAGAGAAGAAGGAAGACAGAGAGCAATCGGAATAGCGACAGAATTAGAAGAATGTGTAAAGGACAATTGAAGGACGGTGTGCAGATGATGTACTCAATGTATGATTTTTATATTTTACAAAGGCAATGTATGATTTTCATTAAACAATAAACTGGTTTGCAGTACCAGAGTTTTCACTCACTACATTAGTAGTAAAACTCAATAACTTCAAAGAAAGTCAGAAACGTTTATACAACGACTAAAGGAGAAAGAGAAAAGCATCAAAAAACCGTTCCATTATGCATATACCTTGAAATTTCCAACTTATTTATCAGGTACAAATCTTTGTAATTGGTTTAGAGTCGTACTAGAAATGTGTTAAGGGCAAACGATACTACCCGGTTGTCCAAGTCAAAGTAGATAGAACGGGACTGTAATCAGTGGTTTAGAGGCCGAAAATTGGACACTTCAACCATTATATAATAACTGTATTGGATGTATTTTATTAACATTTTTATTATTTCTACTGGACTAATTAGATAGCGTTTTATAAAGGAATAGAAAGGAAGTTCGCCTTTTATTACCTCTTAGTAATACACGGATTTTAACAGCAAGAAAGTGATATGAAAATCCCTTCCAAACTACTGTTAGAAAGGTTTCAAATTATCTAGTTTTGCATTGCTTTTGTTAATAAAAACTCCGCCTGGAGTCCCTCCGGGGGCTACTGCCGGTCCCAAGCCCGGATAAAGGAGGAGGGTTGAGCATGGGGTTAGCGTCCCCATCTCGTAGAAAACTAACTCGCTAAAAAGACGCTAACCAGTATTGTTAATAAATGGTAGTTCTAACAAATAAAGAAGTTTTCGATAGACTTTTTTCAGCACATATTATTATCTATCTGGTCACTTTCGTTTTTGATCTACTATTTTTGTTCCGCATCCCAAGGTCATAGTTGTTGCTGTGTATAAGAATTATTGTACCGTGATGTTGACTTTTTGAATATCAAGCTTTTCCTGAATTCCTATTTTAAGAAATCAAACACACAGTAGATTATGATTATCAGTGTTTTAAGAAAGCTCCCTAGAAGTACATGTAAATCTCAGTTGCATGAACAGACATTTTTCGATCGTTTGTAATTCAGAAAAGTTGTGAGTTATCTTAATATAAAACAATCATATAACAACTTACACTAATAATGTAGTACATGGAACCACAATGACAATACATAATGTAATTTCCGGTGTAGTTATTGATGTCAAACTAACATAATAAAGTGAACCGATCAGACCGGCTGCACCAGTTCCACATGCCCAAGCCGAAATACAAGATCTAGAGAAAAGTTCGTCCAACCCACCCCCAAATAAAAAATCGTCAATTATTTTAAATCACATACTGATGAAATCGTAAAATAGTAATGTATTTTGTATATGAGATCAAAGAGCAAGTTGAGTACGCAAGTAATCAACAAACACAAAATAATTGATTAGGTGACTAATGAGACAAAGGCGTATAGAATCCCTAGAGTAGATAAAACCCTACGTGTTTGTAATACGATCATTAAGCTAAGTGATTACTCCCGTTTTTATGAAGGATGGTTTTATGACTCAACGTAAAAGATGTTTAAAAATTGTTAAATGGATGAAAAGAATCCTGATCGACAGAAATGTAATAGTATGATAACAGATCGCAATACTGGATCATTATTGCAAATCTCAGCACGAGCTGACATTATTAGCCAAGAAAATAGGTGTTTTTACTCAATAAGATAACTTACTTACACGCAAACTGTTGACAAAAAGATGAACGTGATTAGATACCATGGAAGAATGAACGAAATCAGTTTTATAGGTCACGTAATCTTCAATGAATTATGATCTGAATATTAGACCAAAATTTTTGTCACCATATCAATATTACAGTAAATTATGACTTATGTCAGAAACTTAGACGTAGTCTCAAACGAGTGGATTTTACAAGTCAACTGTAACAGTTAATCTAATCTACACCAATGGTTTACATTGTGATGTTATCTGACTGAAGATAGTAAGAAACTCTAGAACTATGTTTCGTGATGGTTGAGGCTCATCAACAGGGTTTGTCTGGAACCTCGAGGGAACAGATGATTTTTTTCTAAATACGAATACATGTCACCCATCTTCACGGACTGAGATGATGCCAGTGAACTACTCCAGTCTCGAGTAACTTTTTACAAAAGGTGTAGGTAATGTATAACTACAGGCATCAAAAGCAAAATATGTTACCAACTGGATTTCATTATCCAGATGGCATGTATGGAGTGGACTACGAAAAACTATGGCATTTTGACAAATATCAGAAATCTGTAAGTTTTTAAACGTGGGATCGCCGATGGACCTTGATAGACAATAATCTCAATGAAGCATAAAACGAAACAATTTCATTCAGTTTAAAATTTGTCATTTCTAGAACTTCAACAAGATTTTCACTTGCTAATAAGACCACGGAAACAAAGCCCTCAAATGCCCTGGTACGGCCGAGATTGGGGAGAGTCAGCTCTCTCTCGAAATGCTATCACATGGTTACGTGTATACAGCCACTGCCATGGAAGTCCTACTCACTACCTTCTCACGGCATTACTTTTGTTTACGAACTTGAGAAGGCGAAAAGTGAATGTCCGGTGCTTTAGCAGGATTGGTGGATATGGAGGATCCACCTAGGGGAGTTGTATAACCTAAATTCCAAGCCAGTGGTGCATGTGGGCTTCAGGACCCTGAGGGAACAAATGGCACATGAACCAATCATTGGTCGCCGGCTACACTGAGACTGCGTTTCCCACCGTTGCTCCACCAACTTGCAGATTAGACCTACAGGTCAAAGACTTGAGGAGTGGTCCCTAAGGGAAACATGTGCGTCGGTTTGAGCACCTGGATAGTATCCCAGCCCTTACACAAATTGGATGATTTATGTGGCGCATATGTATTCGGTACCATGTTGTACCAATGTGTACGTGTTTAATTAAAATAAAAAATACGGTAAATATGGAATATAAATACATAATCCAAAGCCCTCTGCAGCTAATGTCTGTCCTCAGCTCGAATAAACAAGGGCTGAGAGAAGAGTTTACGATCCAATCTCGTAAAAAGAAACCCACTAAGAAGTCGTTAGTCAAAGAAAATCGATTAGATACAACGTCGAAAGCTGATTAGCATACTTGTCAAAGAAAGCTACCATGCTTAAGAAAGTAACATCTCCGATTCCTGAAGATAAACTTGCCGACACAATCCCTAAAAATATTTTTCAGAAAGAAAGGAATCAATTAACAATGAGTTAAGATCATAAAAAAGAAATATGACAGTTTCTAGTCGGTTTAATTAGTTATTTATAATCTATTTCACTCATCATTATTACAGAATACACCACGATTCACACTCACTATTTGCATATGTGAATAGAATACCAAATATGTTCATTATCTTCAATCTCATAAAAATCGTATTCACCACAAGATACATTTTATACAATATAAGCAGATGACATACATTTTTAGAAACGGGTTTACGGATATTGTACATAATATATTTTACTAACGCGTGAAATAATATAGCACATAAATTTTGTCTTGGATGTTACTGCTAGCTACTACCAAACTTTAAAAAACACTAGTGATTAGACGGAAACATTGAGGCGACTAGCTCAGGATGCACGGAGATCGGTCCGCTGCAATTCTTAGCATCAACAACCCTTGGAAACAAAACAATTTCAGTCTGCCTATTTGTTCCTTAATATTACAATGTTTCAAAACTTTTATGATACGTCGAACAATTAACATAAATACTTTCTTCATTGATATTATTCAATAAATCAATAAGAAAATACTATTATCAGTAGTTTCAGCCAGTAAGTTATGATTAAAGTAGGGCTAATAAAAACATACTTTTACGAATTATGTTCCCTACATGATCTTTTGCTCAGATCCCAAGTTCGAAAGAAACAAAAATTAAACTGATCACATTAAGCCGGAAATGCTTACCAAAAAGACTCGTAGAGAAAGACTGAGAAAATGAAACCATCAGAAAACTATTAATCGCCAGTAGGACAGCGCATAAAACTTTAAAGCTAAAAAAAAAGAGATCGGCAGGCTGTTAAGAGCAAATATCCCCCAACAAACAACTTACGTAGGAAGTATCTAACTTATTATAAAATGAAAAACCAAGCAATTTCAAAAGGACCTGCTAAACTTAAATGTTACTTTCTAGATTGAAGCTAGACATAACAGAAATTTAATGCGACTGTCATAACAACCGAAAGCTCACAGCTACCGGATGCTGAAACATATTTTATCGTACATTAACCGTAATAGTTAATACAATCTCAACAGATACTACAATCACTCTCACTAAGATTTTAACTGATTAAAAGTAGTCGGTAAGAAACTCTAGATACTGATAGCTGGAGCTTGTCAGCAAGGTTTGTTTGCAACCTTAAGGGCATTGATGCTCTCCGTTGGATTCGGATCGTGGTCACCCAACTTCATAATATGAGACGTTACTGATGAGCTATTCCTGCCATAATTGACCTCTTTCAGGAGGTGCAGGTGATTTCATGTCGCTCAGACTAGTGAACGCAAATCGACTGGACAAATACAATCATTGTGACTGCCCAATGATCACGGTAGATTATGGATTACTTTGCATGTTCAAGGAAACTGGATTATAAGTTAAGGTTAAACTGCTTTAAAGAAAGGACTTACTGGAAATGAAGTTTTTGTATGAATATTGGAGAAATAAACTTGAAAATCATACTCGGAAGTATATCTGCCAACAGGACACTCTATAAGAAAGAGTTAAAAACAACAAAAACATACTCCCGTTCCAATCTTTGTACAGTTCATGCGATATGTACTGACGTTCGTAGTGAATTCGATCTGTGACTATGAAATGAAAGGATAAGAAAAATGAAGTTGACTCGAAATCAGTTAACAAGTATTATTTGCAATTGGTTAAGAAGATTCAATACATAGTTTATATATCCTACTGTAACTACATTTAAGAAAATCGCAACTGAGTAGTTACGAAGCTTTCCGGTTTATTTAAGCGTAAATGAGAACTTTTACGTTATGCTGCTGAAAAAGTCCGCTAACACTAAAAGGATTAACCACTTTGCAAAATCAGTATAAAGATGATCTGGATAGACGAACTGACTTGTTTCCTAATCGACCAAACTTTGTCAATGATTGGAATTAGATCCCGTGAAATATATATTTTGAGCCAGTATTATTCGTGTCCTCGAATTAGTTGGGTTAAACTGAATGACTCCAGTTAGAGTAATTGAAAGGAAATAATTTCGCTAATAATCAAATCTTTATACGAAATAGTTCGAGCTAAATTTCTTGCCAGTTTGAGCTTAAGGGTGTGGAAAGGATCAAAGGCGTAACGGTCCCAAGTCTGAACCCCACTCAATCAATTTCATTTTAAGCTACTGGATAGGATCACTAAGCCTCATGAGCAAATAAGGACATAAACATTTAAGCTAAAAAAAGAGAGAGATATAAACGTCATCATCCTCCACTAAGTAAAAATCTAGCTAAGGAGATAGTGCAACGGATTTGCATACACGGCTTTGTAACATAATTAGTAGTTTGTGAGGGATTACAATATTAAATTGGATGGGAGGTTGGACACAATCTAATTATCGTAGCATCCTAACAAATAAAGTACTTTCAACAATGACTTCACTGAGACAACAAATCATAAATACTTTCGGAAAAAACCATCTTACATCTTTTTGTTTTCGTATAATATCCACAGCTGCACTTAGCATAATAACATATGAGAAATTATTACCCAAACCGAAACACCTGTGACGGATTTCCACAAAGTTTTATTTAAACGATATATTAATTACCAAAATGCTAAGTAATTCCGAAGTTTCCAATGATTGCAACGGTGACGATATCTGCAACACTCTGAAAATTTATTTTAAATACCGTCACACATCGAATCGGCAACTACCACTCGGCATCTCGGAATAGATATATTATTTATCAGAGAGAAGTGGATGCACAAATCACATAAAATATTGAGACAAGTGGATCAATTCATGAATAGAAAAGACAGATTACCCCTAAAACGTGTGAAATTCGGTAGGAACAATCTTTAAATAACAATTAACAGTTTGGTGGTTAATATCAGATACGTATAGGGGCATAAGTCATCGGAGTGGAGGCATCAAACTGAATTCATTAAAACTTGTGCCATTGAAACACGAAGTCAACAAGGATGTTCAGCGTACGACCTTGAGCAGGTTTCAAGTCACCCTGTACAGTGCAATATCCAATATCGTTGGCACGTGTTTGCATAACCCGATCGTTTTCTTTGTGCTCGCTTCTTATTGCCCGGTGGGTTGTGGTATAGCTACTTCACTGCACATATTTGAGTCAATTTGATAGTTATTCTAAGATTTGTATATCTTGTGGTTTAAACGAGTACCTAACGATGAACAAGGTGCGAACAAGGAATTGAATGAATTGGAGTTGATCGAATGGCATGGCTCGGCCATGCAAGCGTGGTCCCTGCTGAATGTAATAGTATATCTTCTATTCGTATTAAATATATTGTTCTTTCTCTAGCCTAACCTTGTTCTACATCATATACTGGTAATTGATACAATACAGTGAGTTGGAGTAGTTGATGGTGTGACTTCCACTTAAGATCTTATAGATTAGGCAGTTATGTCATGAGAAATCTACATTTTTAGGATTAGGTCTATTATTAGAGCAGTACTCATATTATAGTAGATCATTATTCTACAGTTATACCTCCCGTGTCTAATCTTGTCGTGGTTACAAATCTGAGACAATAGGAACCGAATTTCTCGAAGGATGCTAGTGCTTTGTTTCAAGTAAGGCAGAATGTTCGTGACATGACATTTCGACAGGTTAGGTTTTAACACATTGTCTAATGCACATTCTTCTATTGTTGTATAGCACTTTTGAAGCTCATGTGAATAATTTTCGTCTCTTATGAGAATTCAAACCCTTGTATCAACTCCATAGGTCAATACCGCCTAGCTCACTTTATCTAACAGGTCCTTGATAGAGATCAAAAACAGGAGTGGGCCTAAGGTTGTGTGGTAATTAGAATTACGCGAAGTGATGCGCTAGCTCAGAATTCGCGAAATAGGGCAATTTAAGGCAGGTACAAATAGATGGACACAACTGAACATATTATGTTCGGAATTCGGAATCGGCGGGCAATCATGTATAGAGGTATCATTAGTTCGTTGTTCCTTGCGGAACTCCTGATGTTGACACCTTTTGACTTGCATGTACTCTATCTAATTTGATACGAAACACACTGTTCTCTAAGCATTTTTGGAGTCAAGACAAATGTCGGTAGGTGAAACTCTTGGTCATGAGAAATAGAAGTGGCATCGTGCCAAAGGCTTTCTACGAAATCAAGAGACATCACACGAACCGGTATCTTACGTTACCGGCAGGTCGTCAAGTTCTCACATACTGTGGGTAGATTGGACTCATGAGACCTGCTTTTCCTGAACCCGTGTTGCGTGAGGTGCAGGATGTTGTTTCTACCCAAGTATTCCTCCATTTGTTCATTGGTCAGTCTTTGGACAGTTATGCTGACGATAAACGTATCACATTCAACATCCAATCTTTGCGATCACTTGCATGAACCGATTGATTTCTTTGATCATGTTCATGTAAGTTCGAGCTTGGCATCCCTCAGAGGAAAATTTCCGTTTTGCCTGTTTCAGGCCTTCCGTGCCTCACCTAAGTCACGACGTTGTCGTTCCAGGTGTTTCCGGTTCGATGAATGCCGTATAAGATAGCACTCTGAAGAATATATGTCACCAACTTCCAGTAGTTATTCCCCCTCGTAGCCAATGGGGGGTGTTGAAGTTGCTTCTCAATGGCCATGTAGTGTAGCGAAGGTAAAGAACATCCTTACCATCCTGACGTACCTCAGTTGTGACCACGTTTTATATGCTTATGCCACTATAATTGCTACCTCTTTGTGTTTGGAGATGAACCTCTTCAACTAGAAGCGGGTCATTTAACAGAAGGTAGATCGGCAAACAGACGTATGACTTATGTCTCATGGATTACTGTCCAGGTTAAAATTCTGTCAAAGCTTGAATTATCACTGACGTCAGCTTTCCTAATAATTCTGACACACGTGACTTCATATGAAATGGTTGTTACGCTGACATGAGCGAAGTGTTTGAATAGCAATTCAATTTATAAATGAATACATAAAATCTCAACCTACTTTACGCTGCCCGGAGTTTTGTACACTAACAGTCCAATTTACTTTTTTCATGAATAGCATCGGAGTCATGCTTTTACGGAGAACAAGGATACTGAGGATTATGTGATAAGAAGTATACAAGCCGCGATAAAATTATCTTGTATGTAAGGCTGACTGTACTAAAAGCACTCTGACTGTTACATAACAACTTTATACCACAGAGTACCTTTAGAAGAGAATGGAGTAATTCATCAATACTGTAAAAGCAAGGTACGAATTGTTGTTGAAATAACTGAAGGAGAAAAATGACACCCGATTATCTACTACTTGTTCCTTACCGAAAAATTTCTGTTTTTCATCCCTTGTCTCTCAGTTCCAGACATTTTGCATAAATATAAATCAAGTTAATCTAGGAATGATTTCTTGTACCAACATGTAAATATCGATGACGTACATCTGTATAATCAAGGCTGTGGCTGACATTGATGTCTTTGCCCGTCCCGTCTTTCAACATAGCAAACACGTATTCACACGTCGATTCACTATTCCAAACCATGGACGCAGGTTGTGGCGTTGTTCACATGACGAGTGCAAAGTGTTTATCTAGCCCTTTCCGTATTCGTGTTGAGTTAACTGAGTCACAAGGTCAATAACAACATGAAAGTTCAGGGATTAGTTCCAAACATCGTACTTAATCTGGTCTTTTTTCGATTCACACTATTTTCCACATCTGGTTTTTATACGTTAAATCCAAAGTCCGAAGACAATTCGGGAGATTTTCACTGTTTCACAAGATGATTTGCCATATTTTTGAAATGTCATAATATGTATATTTTTTCATCTAGTGTAGCCATACATATTGTTGCGTATAACCAACACTCCCAAACCCGTTTTGATCTAAGACACTGAATAGCTCCATACGACAACATACTAACATGAGTGTGTTGGTTCAGAGCGAAGCCTATAAGATTCAATATTAGTTTTCGTTATTATTATCGCCGTCACATATTTATAAATATTAATATGCTAACTACAGTAACCTCCTGTGAAGTCTATATAACTTCCGTCAGGTTCTTAACTGGTTTCATAAGTCATGTCTCGGATTTTAAATTTATTGACATGTATTACTAATTTGTATATTTCTCATCAACTCACACATTAAATTAGTTTACACATATGTCATATTACACTATCTCTATGCCATTCGAGTTCGACTGTTATTTAAACCGTCCTAATATCCTCCGCTAAACCCACCACAGCCCTCGCAAATGTATGAGTTTAGGTTTGTGAGTTCGGCTATCATATGAGTTGTATAAGAAAACGTTTCACCTAGTTAAGACCATAAGTGAAAATAAAGCCACTCCATTAAGATAATGAAGCTTTTCATACAAGTGCTCAACACATTTGAACCTGGCCTTAACGTAAGGAGTATTTCTACGTCATGATTTGTAATAAAACAAAACAACTCGGATTCGTTAAAATTACACAAACCCTCCCGAATTTCTGACACTTGAAAATCATTAAACGTTCATATATTTTCAACCACTAAAAGTACTGAGCATCTAAAACAACTTTACCTATTACCTACTAGATAATACGAGAACAATACAATAATTATTTATTCATAAATATTTATGGATATTTTCACAAAGCATTTTCACGACTTGACATTCACGTAGCATGACCGATGAATTTTGTGAAACGTTTGACAAAAACTGTGTCAAGAAACTGGCCGATAATTACGATTAAACGGTGCTGTCCTTTTGTGGCTATTTTTAACTAACACAAATGGCTGTGGTATATTTTTCTATCAGTCGATCAGTCAGAAAACATATTAGAACCTCTTCAATTTATTTGGTGATCTAGCGATAAAATAATTAGTGTAGATAATAGGTGTAAATAGTCGAGCGAATCTCCCACAAACTAAAAATACTGCTGTCAAATTTACCCCAACAGAGAAGGAAATTCGCGTCATTATCATATAAATAAGTCGGGAGTTGAGCATCCCTTGTATACAACCTATCCTCTTTGATGAGCAGCAATTACCGTTTGTCATCTCGTAAAGTTTTATTGATTTAAAAGCATCGTATAACACAATGTAATCTATTTCCGTGGTACATAAGCTTAGTTTCTTTCAAAACCTCGTAATCATTCTATTTCGAATAAGTCGATTTCGGCCCTGTAGCAAACTATATTCTTGCAACTAACTTTTATGCATCATCAACGGGTAATTTTCACTATGAATAATTGGCTTATTGCACATTAGAAGATTGAGTCAAAAGCACATCTCTGGCGGACACATTCATGTACAAAAAATTACCGTATTAAAATAATTTTTTATAACAGTTCGTATGTATTGGTATTGTTAATGAATCCTATGATGGTTAAGCAAGTCGACGAAAAATCGTCGCAATTAAAATAATCGTGTAACCATATTGTGAACCTGTTCATGGTTGTGTTATGTGGAATTTGTAGTTCATGTTTGGAATCTATAGCCAGTGAGAATATCCAACGAAAACATGAAAACATTTATTTTTATAATTGTCGTTTAGAAAGTTGCACTAGACGTCGTGCCAGTATTGTATTACCAGTAAATGAACTTGCTGTAAATGTTAGATAAACGGATTTTCGAGTCATTGTTCGTTATCTAGTTCTAACTTAACAGTTTGGGTCAGTTGGTTCTCTATAAGGATTTCGAAATTCCTACCACGACAGCGGTTACACGTCCATTCCTTTCGTTAGCCGACTAGTGCATATGCAATTGGAAATCAAATGTTTCAACAACACACCAGTGTAAACACCAACTGATCCGCTGGTTTCAACCAAGCATTGTGTTGTTAATAACATTTCTATAATATTGATTGCTTTTGTATCTATAAACATCAAATGCTTTCAGTGTTGATCCATTGAGTTATTGCTATGCATTTAAAGGTGGCCTGTTAAAACCTCTTCATACCAAATCTTTCTTCATTATTATAATTCCATTTTCTCCAACTCTCAAATAAGCTTCATGTGGACCTTTATTTTAGGCGTGTTGGAAATCCAACCAAACATTTT